TATTTAAACAGAACTTATATCGTCCTTTACTTATATAAATAATTTCTTCTGTGGTTAAATATAGCAGCTCAATATGTCACTATTCGATTGGCATAGTCATGTCGAATGATGGATGGCGACAATAGAAAATTTCGCATATCAAAAGCCAAAGAGACCAGTTGGGTGTGTGCGGGACTACAGGACCACAGGATATAGGAACAACCGTTGGCAGAGGGCCTACAATGTCTACGTAGACGTGATTGAGCCCTGCATCTGGGCTGGGAAGGGTGCCTTCGGGAGGTTTGTTGTGCGGATGGACTTTACTCCATTGACAGCCGAGACACGCCTGTGTCCAGGTTTAAGGTCCTTGTGTGTCCCGGGCCAGACAGTGTGGTGAGAAACCAAATGTCGATGGCTCGACTCCCATGGTGAGAAGGTTTTGCAGGGAAAATAGGCCAGCCACCTCATTGTGTGACCCGTAAATCGGAGGTGAAGTCCGTTTGGCGAACTAATCGGGGTAAAACTTGTCGTAATTGGAGTTCAAGGTGACGGAGAAAGTGGCTTGTGAGTAGACCATGCTGTCAAGTCACTGCCCTAAAGGGAGTGGCGGAAGTGTTTCACGGCGAAGTAGACGGCACCAGGTGCTTGTCCAAATGTACTGATGTGCAATTCGGCAGGTTTTGACATTCTTGAAGAGAAAAGAATGGATGTGACCTGCAGGGTGCTGCTGGAGAACTGCAACCTTGGAAGTGCCAACCATGAGTGAGATGGAAGCATCAGGGACTGAGAGCGTGAGGAGACTGGCATCGGCTAGAGCAGCCTTGGCCTTGTCAAAAGCAGCGAGAGCGTCTACGGGGAGCTCGAACAAACATTTGGAACTGGAGAGGGAATTTTCTAGAGATCGGTGTTAGAAGTTTACTATGCCCAGAAATGGCTAGAGTTGATACTAGGGAAGAGATGGGAATTCGAAGGAGAAGGGTTGCGGTTGGTGTCCAAGGAACTCAATGGAGGGAACGCCGTAGACGCACTTTTGCGGGTTGGGGGCGACGCCACACTGTTGAAGGCGGCCAAACACCGTTGCAAGATGTTTCAAGTGATTGGCAATGGTAAAAGTAGACAAATGTAGGAGTAGACAAAAGGAAAGCAGCCAAGCACTCTGTCTAGGAACCTCTGGAAGGCTTTGGAAGCGTTGCGAAGTCAAAATGGCATGCACAGGGATTCAAAGAGGCCAAAAGGGTTGGTAACGACCGTATTCCAAATGTCCTACGGGGCTGTAGAGATCTGATAGAAGGCACGAATCGGGTCAGTCTTGGAGAACGCAGACTTGCCGCATTGACAAAGTCCCGAATATGTGGAACGGGGTAGCCATCCGGGGTGGTGACACTGTTCAAGTCCCTGTAGTCGCCACCGGGACACCAGTCTCCAATAACGGCCTTTGGGACCATATCGAGGGGGGGGGAGCACGGGTTTTCAGAGTGGCGGATGATGCTCATCTGAAACACTTGCTCCACCATGGCCTTGGCAGTAGCGAGACGTGCAAAAACAAAGGACAACCAGTGGTTCAGACGTGATGCACTAAGTTGTGTCGTGGTGTGGAAAGTGCGACGAGTGCTTCCAGGATATTTGGCAAGAGCCTGCCAAAATGGACTATCGGGTGAGGGTACAGGACGGCAAGTTGGCGGGACACCTCGGACAGTCAGCTGGGTGGTGTGATCGTGTAGACGGGAGTG